AGCTAGTCGTAAGTTGTCTGAAGCTATTCATATTTTAAACAACATTTTACCGTCATCAAATACAATTCCGAAAGTGGGATAAAACAGCGCGATGTTACAGAGCTCACACCGTGGTGACCTGTCATCGGCACAGCTCTGCGACTCGACAGCACGGGGAGGACGTGTTTGCTAGCGCCACCGAACTGAGAGCGCGGCACGAACATTTAGAGTTCATGTGTTTTTCCCTGCACATAACAATGATTTGAAGACCAGTATTACGTTACTGCATTTCTTTGACTTATCATTACTACATGTAAATAGTAGTGTTACCTGCTTTGAATAGGCCGGAAAGCTGCAAAGCACTTAATGATTTACAATACTATAGTCCTCTTAAAAATGTTTTATGGATAAAGTCACCAGCCCTCCAGATCGGAAGCTGGAACGTACGGACCATGCGGCCCGGACTGACCAACGATCTTCAAGAAATTTACGACGCTCGCAAGACTGCAGCCATTGATCGTGAGCTGCACAGACTTAACGTTGATAATTGTAGCCTTGCAAGAGACACGACTCCCAGATAATGGATCCCTAAAGGAGGAACACTACACCTTCTTTTGGCAAGGGAAAAGTACAGATGAACCCAGAGAGCATGGGGTAGGCTTTGCTGTGAGGAATACACTGCTACAGATGATAGAACCACCAGCAGATGGTACAGAGAGAATCCTCAAGTTGCGCCTTTCAACAGAGGAGGGACCAGTCAACATCATCTGCGTTTACGCTCCAACACTTCAGGCTACAGTAGAAACAAAAGACCAGTTCTACGAGGCACTAGATGCAACCATTAGCAATTTTCCATCGTCAGAGCATGCCTACATTCTGGGTGACTTTAATGCAAGAGTGGGCGCAGACCAAGAGGCATGGCCAAATGTTTTAGGTCATCATGGAGTAGGCAAAATGAACGACAACGGTCAGAGACTCCTTGAACTCTGCTGTCTACGCAACTTATGTGTGACCAACACCTTTTTCCAGAATAAGACATGCCATAAAGTATCCTGGAGACACCCCAGGTCAAAACACTGGCATCAGCTGGACCTGGTCATCACTAGGCGCGACTCACTGAACAGTGTCTGCAACACCAGAGCCTACCACAGTGCTGACTGCGATACCGATCACTCACTGATCGCCTCCAGAGTAAAGTTGAAACCAAGTAAGATCTACCACTCCAAGCAAAAGGGTCAGCCTTGCATTAACACCAGTAATACTGCTTACCCAGATAAGAACAGCGACTTCATTGCGAGACTTGAAGAAACCCTGACTAACTTTCAGGGACAGAATGCTGAAGACAGATGGAACTTTGTCCGCAGTACCATCTACAACGCGGCCATGCTGACCTATGGCAAGAAGGAGAGCAAAAATCGCGACTGGTATGAGGCTAACATCGCTGAAATGGAGCCTGTCATCAATGTCAAATGCAGTGCACTGACTGAGTACAAACGTGATCCAAGTCAGAGGAATCTGCAAGCATTGAAGGCTGCACGATGCAAGTCCCAGAAAACAGCACGCCGTTGCGCAAACAACTACTGGCTTCAGCTGTCAGGCAACATCCAACAAGCATCAGACAACGGCAACATCAGAAGCATGTACGAGGGCATCAAGCAAGCAACAGGAAAACCGGTGAAGAAGAGCACGCCCCTGAAATCCAAGACAGGAGAGACCATCACAGACAAGGACAAGCAGCTTGCGAGATGGGTTGAACACTACCTCGACCTGTACTCCAGAGAAAATTCTGTCTCCTAGGAAGCACTTGACGCAATCGAGGACCTGCCTGTTCTAAAGGAGTTGGATGCAGTGCCCACCCTGGAGAAACTCAACAAAGCCATCAAAGCCTTATCATGTGGCAAAGCTCCAGGTGAAGATGGAATACCTCCTGAAATCATCAAGTGTGGAAAGCCAGCCTTGCTCGAGCCACTTTACGAACTCCTGTGTCAGTGTTGGAGAGAACGTAAGGTCCCCCAGGACATGCGTGATGCCAAGATCGTCACGCTGTATAAGAACAAGGGTAACCGAAGCGACTGTAATAATTACCGCGGCATCTCTCTTCTGAGCACCATGGGTAAAGTCTTCGCAAGCGTGGTCCTTGCTCGCCTGCAGGTCCTCGCCGGCTGCATTTATCCAGAGTCCCAGGCGTACCAAGGCGTTTGACCTTGTAAGTAGAAGAGGCCTGTTCCAGCTGCTGAAGAAGATCGGCTGCCCCCCACAGTTGCTCAGTATCACCGCCTCCTTCCACGACGATATGAAGGGCACTGTCAACTTCGATGGCGCGTCATCTGAACCCTTCACCATCAAGAGCGGCGTAAAACAAGGCTGTGTCCTTGGGCCAATATTGTTCGGCATCTTCTTCTCGCTGCTGCTGAACTTCGCCTTCAAGGACTCGGAAGAAGGTGTTCACCTGCACACCAGAAGCAACGGGAAGCTGTTTAACCTGTCCCGCCTAAAGGCCAAGACCAAGGTCCGCACAGTGCTCATCAGGGAGATGCTGTTCGCAGATGATGCCACTCTGACCTCACACACTGAAAAAGCGCCTGGAGAGCTTCCACCTTCGTTGTCTTCGCCGGATCCTCAGCATCACATGGCGGGACAAGGTCACCAACACTGAAGTGCTGGAGAGAGCAGGCTCCCTCAGCATGCGTCTTATGCTCTGTCTGCGTCGACTGCGATGGCTTGGGCACGTGCGCCGTATGGATGATGGACGCATCCCCAAAGACCTCCTGTACGGTGAATTGGCCATGGGACACCGCCCAACGGGTCGCCCAATGCTGCGCTTCAAGGATGTCTGCAAACGCGACATGAAGCTGACTGACATCGACCCAAACAGCTGGGAACTGGTAGCCATCGACCGCGGACGCTGGCGTCATGTCGTTCGTGAGGGAGTCAAAAGGGGCGAGGAGAAGAGAAACCTGCAGCTGGAGAACAAACGACAATGGAGGAAACGGGGGCAGCAGAACCAAACCTCCTACCAACCGTCCGATTTCGTGTGTAACACCTGTGGCAAAGACTGTCAGGCTAGAATCGGACTGCTGAGCCACATCAAACGCTGCTCTCCACAAGACTGAACAAACCGGACAGGGCGCTACCATTGTCTCCCGAGACCGACGGATGCCTACTACTACTACTAGAATTAAAAATGTTTTATGGATTCATTCATCAAGGCATTAGGTAAATTTTACATTTAAAGATATTTGTGCAACTGTAGCACATACTGAAAAAAATGAATAAAATGTACTGATAATTTTCTGCCAGGACATTATCCATTAATTTTCCATTGCGGAAATACATACCATGGTTAATTTTCATAAGTTTTCCATTAACCCTAAAACGCAACGCAATGCAGTGCAAAATTAAAAATACCGCCATATACAGTACACTGTATTAATGAAATTGCAATGTGAAAGTTAAATAAGCTAACACTGACCATTGCCTGGTCTTTAATTGCTAGAGGGGGAAAAATCCCATATAGCCTATTTAACAAT